GGGTGGGTCGACCTGAGACACACCTGAGGGAGCAGGATCCTGTGGGGGGGGGGGTCTACCAGGGGGGGACCTGGAACCAGAAAGAGGGGCGGTAGGGGGACTGGAGAAGACACGTGTGGGTGGAGATGGTAGAAGCAGACCGACTCATCAAAGGTCACGTCCTGGGAGGACAGGACGAGGCGCGAGGCAGGGTGGTAAAACTACCAGGGCGGGGCGTCGGTGGGGAAGCAAGGAAGACGCAGCGGAGAGTGCGAGAAGAGAGCTTGCCCGCAGAAAGATCGCGGACAAGGGCAATCGAGCCCTAGACCCGAAAAGGAAGACGCACCGCCAACCTCCTCATCCAACGCAGTGTAGGCGAGGTCTCTGGCACAGAGACACATATCATAATAGCAGGCAGAACGAGGAGCCATAGCTAGGGTTTAGCTAGCTAGGCAAGAGAAAATAGGCAAAGGAGGAGGTTTTCACTAGCAAGCAGGTGGATACATATAGGAAACCCTAAGGGGCCGTACTCACTATAGAGTACCCCACTGCAGGCTAGACAAACTACACATTCTAACAACACATGGCCATAGGTTGAGCTGATGCGCGGCCTATCGGACCGCAAATGGGCACAGAAAATGGGGAGCAGCCGCATGGATCATGGAGGTGCGAGCAACCTCTATGATCAAGCCAATGCGACGCTTAGCAATCTTATTCTGCTGTGGAGAGGCCGGAAGCGTAAACGACTGCGCGATGCCCTTTTCAAGACAAAAGTCATCAAGGAGGCGAGAGGAAAAATCACCGCCTCTATCAGAGTGCAGTCGCAGGACCTGAAGGTCCTACTCAAACTGTGCTTTCAGCTAGCCACGAACAGTGCGGATCTAGGGGATCAAAACACCGCGGACATCCGCCTTGCTCTGCAAGGGGAAGACCATGGTATAGCGCGTAAAATCATCAACAACCAGCAGAAAGTAGCGCTCGCGGCCTTGTCCACTGACGCGGGCAGGGCCCCACACGTCCATGTGGAGAGTCTGCAGAGGAGCAGTGGTCGGAGGAAACGAGGAGGAGTGAGGAGCGGCGCACTGCCGCCCCTCGACGCAGGGAAGGCACGGCGGTGCAAGCGACTGCGGAAGCGGGGGCAGGGACCTGGGGAGGCAAGAGACAAGGAGACAGGAGTGCATGCTACGCAGACGCGGCATGGAGGGGTGACTCAGACGGTGGTGCCAGAGGAGAGACAGGTGCGTGAGTAACCGACATGAGCAAGAAACAGCTACCTGACCGGACGCAGCTACCTGTGCAGACTCAGTAGTCAGTGTGTACCGGCCAGACCCGGGTCTCCGAGTGAACGTGGCGAGGTGGGCGCCAGTCCATGAGTCCGTACAGATCACCACAAGCTCACCCCCAGGAGTAGTCATGTGACAAACTGGTCCTGGAGGACAGCGATACTCACCAAGTTCGTTGTGAACGAGGGGAGGTCGAGACCTGCAAGCAAGCCAGAAGGGGCTGCCGGACACGAGAGAACGATGGAGGCACTTGCTACGACTGGGCCCCCAGAGAGGTCAGCCAGAGTGACCGGGACAGGTGCAGTGAGCGGTGTGACTGTGGTGCAGTCGCGTAAGAAGCAGCGAGTTGCGCCAAGCGTGAAGGTGTGCAAAGCCTCCACAGGAGCTGCACCTGTGCTAGCAGGCTCATGTCGAAACTCATAGTAGCCATGGCTAGGGTTTGAGCTAGCCAAGGAGTGTCGAGAGAGTTTGAGAACAAGAAGAGGGGTTTCACTATAGAGAGTGAAGTATAGGGTAGGAAAGGTGGGTACACCACCAAGCAAGAAGTTAGGATAACTACACTATGGCTAAAACTACATGCAGTTATAATATAATTCTGACATCCCCCCTTAACTGCATGCAGGAAGAGCCAAGTGCTAGACACAACCTGCAGGGGTACACCAAGCAGAACAAAGCAGCAACACGCAAGAGCAGTGACAACCAGTGCAATAGTGGCAGATACAGTTGCAGTAACCCCGCAGCCAAGTTAGAAGCAGCAGAAGCAGGAGCGTGCGGCGGCAAGGGCAGCGGCACAGCAAGGCTCAACGGCAGCACCTGCCGCTCAACAGCAGTAGAGAGGCAAGACAAACAAGGGTGGCGACAGGGGCTGCAGCTGGAGGTACCACGGTAGCAGAGGGGCTGCTTCGTTCGCCACACTCTGTGGGGCTGCTTCGTCCGCCACACTCTGTCGTCCCCCCTTAACCGCGCTCATCCCCCCTACACCTCTCTCCTCCCCCCCCCCCCCCCACACAGCAACAAGCTCTGCAGTGGAGAGAGGACGAGGGAAGGGAGGGACGGGCTGCTGGTCGGTCACACTCGCCACCCCCACATCTCCCCCCCTTCCACGGCAGATGCTGCGAGAGGGAAGGGGGAGGGGGGGGGGGGGGGGGGGGCAGCGTTAGCTGCTGCCGGCGCTGGCGCTGGCGGTGGCGCAGGTGTAGGCTCCGGCGCTGGCGCTGGGTCTGGGTGCAGGCGACGGCATTGGCGCTGGCGCTTGCGCTCCGCACTGGTGCTGGCGGCAGTCGCAGGCGCTGGCGGTCCGAGCTGGCGCTGGCGCTTACGACGGGCAGGGCGACGTGGGGAACGACGACGACGACGGGCAGAGCGCAGGGCGACGACGGGACGGGACGGGGGCGCATCGGGCGCGACAGAGCAAAGCGCGACGTGCTGACGGGACGGGACCGGCAGGTGCCCCGGGCGCGACCAGTGACGAGATAGGGTGACGGGGCCGCGGGGCCGTGCTAGGGCGACGGGGCCGCGACGGGCGACGGGGCCGCGGGGCCGTGTTAGAGGCGACGGGGCCGCGGGGCCGTGCTAGGGCGACGGGGGGCTGCGGGGCCGTGCTAGGGGCGACGGGCGACGAGGAAAAATTTCCGCATTTCGCGCTGCAGCGTGGGTGGGCCCATGTTTCACGAAAGAGAATAGGTCCTAAGACCGTAGTAGCTCTTAATACCATGTCGAAACTCATAGTAGCCATGGCTAGGGAGTGAGCTAGCCAAGGAGTGTCGAGAGAGTTTGAGAACAAGAAGAGGGGTTTCACTATAGAGAGTGAAGTACAAATAGGGTAGGAAAGGTGGGTACACCACCAATCAAGAAGTTAGGATAACTACACTATGGCTAGAACTACATGCAGTTATAATATAATTCTGACAGCTCTCGGGCACCTAGACTAGTAGCCTCTACACTACAATGGACGGGTCGCTGAGAAACCCACTCCGTAAGCTTCTGCGGCGAGAGGATCTCCGGCTGACGCTGCTACCGCTGCGGACCACCCCCAGAACCACCGCCTCCACTAGTGGCACCACCTACAGGAGAAGACGTACATGTATCTATACTCGCCTCCTCGACCAGCGGTTGCACCTCCCTAACAATGGACGGCTCTGCTGTAGTGGCCGGGTGGCTGGAGAGAGGGAGGGGTTGTGTCTAACAACAGCGTCGAACAAAGTCTGGGCCGACGTCACCTGACGAAAGTGATCCCTCTGGTCAACGGGCAGGAGAGCTCGGACGGCACGCTGTGCGATAGCGTCGCGCTCCGTCCACTGTCCATAGGCAAGGCTGTCCGCCCGGTACCGCCTCAGCATGTCCTCGCCAGCGTCAGCAGTAGGCTCAGTGGGAGTCGTGGGGGCCGGAAGGGACCCTGATGTGTGCTCGAGTATGGAGACGCTATCTCTAATGAAACGCCCGACGTGCACGCGTAGGCACATAAGCCACAAAACTAACCTGTATGGGCGTCCGTCAGCGTCAACTGCTAAGACCGGCGGCGTGGCCATGACGGGCAGTGGCAGTCAGCAGCAGAGATGGCGGCATGTGTTGTAGTGGGAGGTGCTGCGCCTGTGGAGTGGCTAGGGCAGTGCGCGGGCGCAGGGGCTGCAGGGCGCGCGGGGCTGTATGCGCGCTCGGGCTGCAGGGCGTAGGAGCAGCAGGGCGCGCGGGGGGCGGGCAGCAGGGCGCGCGGGCACGGGCAGCGCAGGCGCGCGGGCTGCAGGGCGCGCGGGGCGCAGGCAGCAGGGCGCGCGGGGCGCAGGAAGCGCAGGCGCACGGGCTGCAGGGCAGCGCGTGCTGCAGGGCGCGCGGGCAGGGCAGCGGGCGGGCTGCAGGGCGCGCGGGGCGCGGGCAGCAGGGCGCGCGGGGCGCGGCAGGGCTCGCGGGGCGCGGGCAGCGCAGGCGCGCGGTCTGCAGGGCAGCGCGGGCTGCAGGAGGACGCGCAGGCAGGGCGTTCTGGCGCGCGGGCTGCAGGACACACGGGCTGCAGGGCTGCAGGGCAGCGCGGGCATGGCAGCGCGTGAGGCAGGGCAGACTCGAACGCGGCGGCTCTAGCGGGCAGCCGGGTCGTGATCGTTAGGGCTGGGCAAACATAAAAACGGGCAGGGCAGAACGAACGGTGGGCCCTAATTTTTTTTCGGTCCTAGAGACCTACGTGCTCTGGAACCATGTCAGAATGATGAGGCAGGAATGATTGCACTAGCATGAATGAGAAGTACAAGTAGGGAACCCCTGAAAGGATTGTACCCTATGTAAGCTACCCCACTACAGCCTACAAACATACAAATATTATTTGACAAGTATGTAAGATTGTTAGCCTTGAGTGAGGTACATTCTAGTGAGTACAACATGTTAGGGCTCATACTTCTATCTTTTGTTGGCTAGTTCACTCATCATTCCCGCGCCGTCCCACCCCTTAGCAGGCCGCGTCCCGCTGCTCAGCAGGTCGTACCGCGTCCGTCCACAGGTCCCGCCCCGTCTCGTTTGGAGGCTCGCACCTTACCTGACCTTCGAGTTATTTTAACATACCGTAGTAAATGTAAATTTGTTGACATCAGATATTAAAGATAATAACCGCATTGAATACATTTGTTGAAATAATAGTAGCTAGCTAAGTACTTTGAGGGGTACATTCCCTTGCGCCACAAGCATACAACGACATTCAAACAGTCACATAAATACCAACGCACCTCACATCTGACTCAAGCCTCTCCCCGTCTATTCAGCCTTTTTAGGCTCCTCGTCCAGGAAAGGGTAGTCGATGTACCCCTTGACCTGATCCCCACTGAAGAAGGTGCTTCGGTCGTACGCGTTGAGCGGCGCATTCAACTCAAAGCGCTTCGGGAGGTCGGGGTTGGCGAGGAAGAGACGGCCATACGTGATCAGATCCGCCGACCCGTTTTCAATGGCTTCCATGCCGGTCTCCCGCTGGAAGTTTGGACATTAGAGGGATTGGAGAGGAAGGGGACGGAGAGCAGTGAGATGATAGGGCGGAGGGAGTGTTGGCTTGTGCGCTTGTGATATCAGGGATGCTTCGAATCTTGCAGGGCAGAAAGTGAATCAACACAATGAACCACAAAAGATGTGAGATGATATGACATGCAAGCCCGGTGGCTGGCACTGCAGGACACGATAGAAGAGGGGAAAGGGCATCTTGTCAGTGACCCGCATAGCAAGGCAGATGAGTCACAGGAGCATACCTTGTAACCGCCAGCCGCGATAAAGGGTCCCTTGAATGCCTTGCGGAATGGCTCCAGAGTCTGCAGATAGAGGGAGAGGAATGGAAGCAGGGGCAATGAATTGCCAATATTTAGTTGCCGCAAAAGGGCAATGAGGCCTGTACAGGTGGGTACCAAGCAGGCAGCCCTAGAGCCCTCCTCTTCCCCACCACTCACCTCTTTCACAAGCAGACAGTGCTCACTGGCACTGCCTGCAAACCACTCAGCCTCCAAACCACTCAGCTTCTTCAAAACCCAAAACCTCCTACTCACCTCTCACCTCCTTCACAAGCACACAGCTCCTACACGCCTCTCACCTCCTCCACAACTTCCAGGTCCACGTTCCCCTGGACGCGCGCCTCCACGAAGTGCACGTACGCCAGGCCCATGCCGTTCACGGCCTCCACCAGCCCCAGGTAGGTGGCCACTGGGTCCGAGTCAGAAGCATCCAGGAAGGTGCTGTACGGCGACAGACGCACGCCCACCTTGCTGGCGCCCACCTCGTCCGCCACTGCCTTGATCACCTGGGGGTGGCGGGGGAGAGTGGAGGGGAGAAGTTGTGAGGGGGAGGCGTGGGGAGGGGAGGGGGTCACCAAAAAAACGACCTCGTCCGCCACCGCCTTGATCACCTGGGCGGGGGGGGGGGGGGGGGTGGGTGGGGGGTGAGGGGCGTGGTGGAGAGGGGAGGGACAAGTCACCTCAGCAGCGAACTCGAAGGCGCTTCAGAAACTGCTTCCCCCCTTTTCGTGTGAAAGTGGGGATGGGAAGACAGGAGGAAGTAGGATCGGGGCGATGGAGCAAAAGGGGAGGGAGGAGGCGGACGGGAAGAGTGGGGGAGGAGCAGAAGGGGAGGGAGAGGAGCCTGATTTCAACATTCCAATATGACCCCACACTAATCATTAGCAATGGAACTAAGGGAACCGTGCACTCACTCATCCCCGCTGCAAGTGGATGTAAGTGAACACCACAATCGCCCCCTTTAGAGTCACAACAGCCTTACCCACCTGCAGGGGGAAGCGAAGCCTGTTCTCCAGGGAGCCACCAAACTCGTCCTCACGCTTGTTGATACCGTCCTGGAGATGGGGGAGAGGGGAGGCGGAATCTCAAAAAAGGGGGGAAGGGAAGGGGAAGAGTGGGCGGAGGGTTGTTGAGAGACAATGATGTGAGGAGCATCAAATCCAAACTTGAACCGAAGATCTTTGTTGGAAGACGACCGGATAAGGCAGTGAAGGCAGAGACGGAGAGAAGCTGACATGAATTATGGCTCACTCATCCCACCATTTTATGCCATTATATTAGAACAAGAGACAAATACAAGTAGTGTAGGCTAATGACTGGAATAGACATAATGCACTGTAAACAGTCCCTAGAACCCCACCTCCACAATACACTCACAACCGCGCCACCTCAACAAGCCGCGGTCACCTCACATTGATGTACTGCTGCCAGGTACCCGTTCGCTGCGGCAATCCGAAATGTTACGACGTCGCGCACTCTCCACATCCATCGCTAACAATTGCTGCACTAGAACGAGCCACGGTGGTCTCACCTTCACAAACTTCTCAACCAGGTAACCGTTCGCTTCCGTGAATCCCGCAAGTCATAGATTTAGGGTTTGTAACCTAAACGGTATCCCGCTTGTCACTCACAACCAGATCAGAACGAGGCGCGGTCATCTCACCTTCAAGAATTGCTCCAGCAGGTAACCGTTCCCCCCATGTATCTCGACGCCGTCGAACCCCGCATCAATCGCGTTGCGCGCCGCCACGCGGTACTGCTCCACTACCTGGAAGGTACCGCCCGTGGCGATGATGGAAAAAAAATGTAACAACGGAGATGGGATCAGGGAAATGGGATGCCTGAGATGGATGAAGGAAGAGCATGGGGAAATCAGAGGCCGTACGCCCTGGGAGGTATTACTCGATCGCTCGCGCGGCACTTCTCTATCATCGCGCGGTTGTCGAGATTGAGCACTTATCCTGCAGAGGCCGTCATACTCTGCAGCGAGTGGATCTTTTCTGTGCACGCGGATCCGTCGAAGAAATCGTCAGTCTGTACTAGTAGAAGAGCGATTCGACTCTGTAGCGCTCTTTCGTCAGTCTTTCGTCGAGTAGTAGAGAAACTCTGCTGCGGTTCCGCTCGGTCGCCCGGATTCGCTAGAGTAAATTGACACGAGCAGGGCCGGCGACACAGCGGAGATGATAAGGGCCAGGCGTTGCGCACACGTCATGCAACTCTCACCAGCGCTGACTCCCCTGCCATGTGATGCGCTCACGTCATACCTCCTTGATTTCTTCAGCGGTCATTGCCCGCGGCGTGGGATAGTCGGCGGGGCCAGTGCTAATGTACACTTTGTCCCCGCTACTGATAGGAATGGCGGACGGAGCCATGGGCGCGGCGCCACCAGGCTGGTACTCTGCTCGATGCGCAGTAGGAGGGGAAAAGAGGCAGGGGAATAATGAGAACCAACGGAGGGAGCAGCGAGGAACGACAGTTGGCGATAAAGAATGATCGAGGTAAAGATAACTATCGGGTCGGTACGCTTGTGATGGTACGGAAATTAGCACGGCGAGGGACGAAGCAAAGAGCGACATCGACAATGTGGACAATTTGACGAAAGTGACACGCGGAAAAATCGACGCGAAAATCGCCATTTCGAGGTAACTCGTCGTCAGGCTTACCCCACACGACAACTGCAGGTTCTGCGATAATTGACAACGGCCAAGTAGGCGTCTCCTTCCACCATCGTACGCAGCAATGCTAGAGGCGCCGCGTCAACACGTCACGTTCGGCCCGATAAGTCACATTGCCCAATGAGATCGGTCGACGTTGTCTAAGGAATAACCAGAAGTTGGATTCACCTTGGTGCGACGCGCGGCCGACGTGCCACAGCTGGCAGTAGAAGAGCGCGCCCTTGTCGTGCACCGCCTTGATCACCGGCTTCCACGCCGCGATCTGCGCGTCAGTGTAAATTCCCGGCACGTCGGGGTACCCGTGCGCCTCGGGCGAGATGCACGTGGCTTCGGTGAGCATGAACCCGCCCTTGTGCGCGCGCTGCGAGTAGTAGATCGCGGCGTTCGGCTGCGGGATGGTCCCGACGGCGCGATCGCGCGTGAGCGGCGCGTAGACGATGCGCATTGAGAGCTCCGTGCCGTCCGGGAGAGTGAACGGCGTGAGGAGCGGGTTGGGCGTGGACGAGGCCATGATGACTCGCGCAAGTGGGGAGGACCGCAACGGACGGAGCAGAGGTGCAGAGACTGCCGTCCGGAGGAGCTTAGCAGGTGCGAAGAGGGTTGCTGTGCGAAGCATTACCAGCTGACTTATATATGGCGTCAGCAGGAGAACATACGCGTACACGAGTGTAGTCAGCTAGAGATTTTACAGGCAATCAGGATATTTTTATCACTGCACACCGCGACGCGCGAATTTTGTCTGACTGTGGGCACGTTTGGTTCGGTTGTGGTGTGGCAAGGTTTGGTTCGTGAACACGGCCGGCTGGTTTGGCAGACCATGGCTGGGTGAGGAGAATTGGAGGTCGAGATTCGAGAGGCTTCTGTTTGGAAACCACGAAGCTTCGAGGAGTCGCTGTCTGTGACTGTCTGTTTCCTGTGCCCTTCTAGACTTTTCACATTTCCTAGAAGCTGTGGTCAAGAATTTGGTGACGTCAGTGAAACCCAAACTGAATTTCATCCATGTTCACGTCCATGAAATTCACGTCTACTTTGCAGTCCCGGTGTTGTGCTCTGTATTGTCATCCTGTATATTTCTAACAAATTGTGTTATCGAACAAGTCGGGGGAAACATCCAGGCTCGACTTAAATTGTGCTCTTGCATGAAATTTGGACGGTACCAGGGCAGAACGTTGACTAAACTTGTCTATAATTTTGCCACATTTTCAAGAATGCAACAAGAACTACGCGTCACTGCGCCGTTTCTTCTTGCTGCCGAGGTGGCGAATAAACGTCCGCACGCTCTCATGTGCATCTGCACGAACAACAAACTTTCTCTTCTTATTGTCTTTCCACAACAACGCTCTGATCTGCTGCGCATGCCGTACAATGGCTTCAAACACTTCCTGCCGAGCATCTCAAAGGCATGTCGATCAGGAAAGCATGGGCGCATGTTCAATTGGTTGAGGAAAGAGGTGAAACACACAGGAAGGATGGAATTGCCTGATGTTGGGGATATCGTACCCCGACAGGTGTACCATGAATGCGTGTGCAAGATGATACGGAAAACTCTTATTCCAACTCACTTCTACCGTACAAACTCCTCCTCGTGTTATGTTGTTAAAACTCACCTGTCTGGGAAATGCTAGAGCCTGGTTCAACAATGGCCATACTCACCGGGTGAAAACAGCCGCCCCTAACATAGTTGGAATCACCTGGGTGGGCTCACCTTGTTGGAATCACCTGAAGAATCACCTGAGTGGGGAAGTCGTCGTAGAGCACGGCAGCAGTGGTGGCCACTCGATTGCGATCAAACTCCCAAAGACGGATCTGACACACACATGGAGCAGCGGAGCAGCAAGGGGGTGATACGAGGGAGCATGGCAAATGGGAAATCGGCACTTCAACGGGTTTTACAAACAGGATCTGATCTGACACACACACAGGGCGGCGGAGCAGCAAGGGGGTGATATGAAGGAGAGGCGAAGTAGTAAGGGCAAAAAAAAAAGGGTTGAAAATAAGAAAAATGTGGGAAAAAAAAAACTCTTATTGAGATGTTATGTGATGGAAAAATGAGTATTAGATGGTCTTCAGTAGTACGAATAAGTGTACGATGTAGTTGATATAATGAGATGGTGTATGACGTATTTTATATTATGAGGTGGTGTATGACGTATTTTCTGTTATGAGATGGTGTATGACGCATTTGATATAATGAGATGGTGTTCAATGTCGCCCGATGGTGTAACTAGTTTTGACCTGATATGAGACGGTACACACTCCACACTCCAAACAGCGCACAGCACACACATCACCACACAGCGCCACAAAGCGCACATCACACATCACCATACAGCACTACAAGCACCACACAGCATCATACAGATCATACAGCACCGCGCACACAGCACCATACAGCACTGTACAGCACCGCACAGCACACCATACTGCACCATGCAGCCCACACTGCACCATACAGCACCATACAGCACCACACAGCACCTGGTCCACCAATGTCTCGGGCACCACAGGGGACTTCGTAGCCACCAGCGGATGAGCATTCTTCCGCATGTACTGCACTATCTGGTGTGTTTGAGGGGTGGGGGGGAGGGGGGGAGAGGAAGGGGTGGGAAGAGCATTGCAGGCATTGCAGACATTGCAGACATTGCAGACATTGCAGACATTGCAAAGCCTGCATTGAAAGAGAAGAATAAAAAAAGAAGAGCATTTAGGGGCACCTATGGTGCCGGGCTACTGCACCTGCATTACCTGGTGGCTGGGGGGGGAAGGGAAGGGAAAAGGGGAATGGGAGGGGATAGGAGCATATATCGTCATTCATTCACACGTACCACACTATCTGATGGTTTGGGGGGGAAGAGATCCGAGCATTACAGGGAAATTTGGTGCAAAAAACTGCACTATCTGGGGTTTTGGGGGAGAGAAGGGGGAGGAGGGAGGGGGTGCACTGTAGACACTGCACCAGCTGGTGTTTTGGGCGTGTGGAAGAGGGGGGAGAGGGGCGGAGCGATAGGAGCATGTGATGGATGCATTGCCGCAATGTGTGGTGACAGAAGGCCGGAGAGCGGAGAGGGAGAGGAAAGTATCGAAGAAAGATGGTATACTACAGAAAGCGGGTGAGGGTAGGGGGAGGAAGAGGACGGGCAGAGAGGATGGGAGGAGAGGGCTTGATAGAGACAGGCTGTACCACCGCGAAGTGTGTGATTGGGGTTACAACATACCAATGAAATCCTATGGAATTTGGGTTCGATGGAGAATATCCATCCCCAACCTAGCCAACCTAGCTGTATTCCTTTTTTATTCCCCGTTATCCCTCCAATCGTTCCTGGTACTCCTCCGTACTAAGGCAACTTGCTTACCTGGTGAATTATTGCTTCTGAACAAGTTGTTTCCACGTCTGCTGAAACCACCTGAGAATCCCACCTGCTCTGCTGAAACCACCTGAGGAAACCCACCTGCTCCGCAACGATGCCGAGGGCAAGTGCGTTGTTGACGGTCTCTCGGTTCATGATCCCCACCACCAGATTGGGCAGCCGGTACTCCAGCCTGCGAGGGGTGAAGAACGGGGAGATGCAGAGAGGGGTGAAGAAAGGGGAGATGCAGAGAGGGGTGAAGAAAGGGGAGATGCAGAGAGGGGTGAAGAAAGGGGAGATGCAGAGAGGGGTGAAGAAAGGGGAGATGCAGAGAGGGGTGAAGAAAGGGGAGATGCAGAGAGGGGGAGGCTTATGGAGAGGGGTAGAGAGGAGGACGCAGGGAGGGAGCGACAAATTACAAACTGGCACATGGCTTGTTGACGGCCTCTCGGTGCAGGAGGCCCAAGAGGGTAAACTGAGGGGAGAGGCAGGGAGGCCCAAGAGGGTAAACTGAGGGGAGAGGCAGGGAGGCCCAAGAGGGTAAACTGAGGGGAGAGGCAGGGAGGCCCAAGAGGGTAAACTGAGGGGAGAGGCAGGGAGGCCCAAGAGGGTAAACTGAGGGGAGAGTCAGGGAGGCCCAAGAGGGTAAACTGAGGGGAGAGGCAGGGAGGCCCAAGAGGGTAAACTGAGGGGAGAGGCAGGGAGGCCCAAGAGGGTAAACTGAGGGGAGAGGCAGGGAGGCCCAAGAGGGTAAACTGAGGGGAGAGGCAGGGAGGCCCAAGAGGGTAAACTGAGGGGAGAGGCAGGGAGGCCCAAGAGGGTAAAGTGATATTGTGCGCCCAAGAGGGTTTAGTGATATTGTGCTAGGGTTTACAACCTGCGAGGTGTCAGGGACAGAGAGAAAGTGGGAGCCATGCAGGCGGCGTGCAGAAAGAGAGGACTTTCATTTGAACAAAGAGAGGACGCTCATTTGAACAAAGAGAGGACGTTCATTTGAACAAAGAGAGGACGTTCATTTGAACAAAGAGAGGACGTTCATTTGAAAAAAGAGAGGACGTTCATTTGAACAAAGAGAGGACGTTCATTTGAACAAAGAGAGGACATTCATTTAAACAAAGAGAGGACGTTCATTTGAACAAAGAGAGGATGTTCATTTGAACAAAGAGAGGACGTTCATTTGAACAAAGAGAGGACGTTCATTTGAAAAAAGAGAGGACGTTCATTTGAACAAAGAGAGGACGTTCATTTGAAAAAAGAGAGGACGTTCATTTGAACAAAGAGAGGACGTTCATTTGAACAAAGAGAGGACGCTCATTTGAACAAAGAGAGGACGTTCATTTGAACAAAGAGAGGACGTTCATTTGAAAAAAGAGAGGACATTCATTTAAACAAAGAGAGGACGTTCATTTGAACAAAGAGAGGATGTTCATTTGAACAAAGAGAGGACGTTCATTTGAACAAAGAGAGGACGTTCATTTGAAAAAAGAGAGGACGTTCATTTGAACAAAGAGAGGACGTTCATTTGAAAAAAGAGAGGACGTTCATTTGAACAAAGAGAGGACTTTCATTTGAACAAAGAGAGGACGCTCATTTGAACAAAGAGAGGACGTTCATTTGAACAAAGAGAGGACGTTCATTTGAAAAAAGAGAGGACATTCATTTAAACAAAGAGAGGACGTTCATTTGAACAAAGAGAGGACGTTCATTTGAACAAAGAGAGGACGCTCATTTGAACAAAGAGAGGACGTTCATTTGAACAAAGAGAGGACGTTCATTTGAACAAAGAGAGGACGTTCATTTGAACAAAGAGAGAGAGTTATGCCTGCAGCTCTGACTGTTTGTCTGCGCATTTTCAGACGTCAGACATCAAAACAATTGACTCCTCTATGTGTGCCTGAAAGAAAACGTCTTCTTTAGGTTTTTAGGCGCCTAAAAATTCCCTCAATGATCTGGGGACGAGACATACCTCAAGAAGAGCGACAATATTTCTGCCCGCAGCTTGGACTGTGTGTGTGTATGCGTCCACTCTGAACTGAACGGCAGCAGGACTTACCTCCTCTCCGCAGCTTGGACTGTGTGTGTCTATGCATCCACTCTGTATGCGTACCAACTCTTCTAGTTCTCTCCTCATGATCCATCAATGATCTTGGGACGACACGTACCTCATGAAGAGTGATAAAAGCTCTGCCTGCAGCTTGGACTGCGTGTACGCATACACTCTGAAGTTGGTCTCCACCACTATGAAGCCCTGCCATGCTAGGGGGTGAGTAGGGTGCAGTGCAGATGGGAGACGGGTGAGTGAGTGAGTGAGTGAGTGAGTGAGTGGAATGAGAGCGTGTGTGGTATACGATTGAGAGCGTGTGTGGTATACGATTGAGAGCGTGTGTGGTATACGATTGAGAGCGTGTGTGGTATACGATTGAGAGCGTGTGTGGTATACGATTGAGAGCGTGTGTGGTATACGATTCAGAGCGTGTGTGGTATACGATTGAGAGCGTGTGTGGTATACGATTGAGAGCGTGTGTGGTATACGATTGAGAGCGTGTGTGGTATACGATTGAGAGCGTGTGTGGTATACGATTGAGAGCGTGTGTGGTATACGATTGAGAGCGTGTGTGGTATACGATTGAGAGCGTGTGTGGTATACGATTGAGAGCGTGTGTGGTATACGATTGAGAGCGTGTGTGGTATACGATTGAGAGCGTGTGTGGTATACGATTGAGAGCGTGTGTGGTATACGATTGAGAGCGTGTGTGGTATACGATTGAGAGCGTGTGTGGTATACGATTGAGAGTGTGTGTGGTACACGATGATCCACAGTTGGTGTGCTGACTGACCGCATTGAAGCGCTGAGTGGTAAGTACGTTGTGCAGCAGTGAGTGGGCGAGCAAACGAATGGAGAAGAAAGGTAGAAAGGAAGGAAAAGACGAAAGAGAGAGCGGGCAGGGCAGGGGGGAAAGTGGAAGCCAGTTGCTAAGTATGAGCCCGAGGTGTGGTTACAGCTCCAGGTGCGAGCACAATGCTATGCTGCGATGCAATGCAACATGCTGCTCGCTCACCTCTGAGTCTGATGTGGCAGATTCTGATAGGCTGGAGGAGAGCGCAGCTGCAAGGTGCGTGGGGATGAACCACTGGTCGTGCCTCCCCTGCGATGGGGGTGAGGGGATGGTGCGGTGTGGTGTTGTGTGGTGTGGTGTTGTGTGGTGTGGTGTGGTGTGGTGTGGTGCGGTGTGGTGCAGTGTGGTGCGGTGTGAGGGGTATATTAAAGCAGTGAGGAGGTTAACGACATGCTGACAGCATGCAGAGGGGCGGGAGATGAGTCAGGTCAGGGAATACTGGACGAGTGGGAATACATTCCATATAGGTTCAAGGCCCACGGCCTTAATATATGTATGTATGCTGGGATGGGCACAGAGGATGCAGTGCAGGTGAAGAGCAGAAGACCAACCACCTTCTGGATGAGCACGAAGCCCAGCTGGGCTATTTCCTCCACCACCTCCTGCTGCATGCCCGTCAGCGTTGACATGCTGTACGGCTGCTCTGGGTGTGGCGGCACACATGGGTGCATGATGGGGGAATGATGGGGGAATGATGGGGGCATGATGGGGGCATGATGGGGGCATGATGGGGGCATGATGGGTGCATGATGGATGCATGATGAGCACATGCACGTGTAGCACAAGAAAGGAGAGGGGAAGGAAGGAGGGGGGATGGGGGGAGAGAGGAAGGAGAGAGGGGGCGAAGCAATGATGTTTGGCAAGGCACCACTGTGCTACTAACATACCCTTGCTTCTTGTGGTGACATATGGATGGTTCTTTGATCAACCGTAGCAGTTGCAACAATACATACAATACGGTGCCTATGTTGTTACCGTACCGTGCCAAAGTTGTAACCGTACCGTGCCTATATTGTTGTAAGAGTAGTACCGTGCCTAACTGTACTTTGCCAATGTTGTAACCGTGCCGTGCCTAAGTTGTAACTTTACCATGCCTAAGTTGTAACCGTACCGTGCCTAAGTTGTAACCGTACCATGCCTATGTTATGACCGTACCATTCCAATGTTGTAACCGTACCGTATCAATGTTGTAACTATACCGTTTCAATGTTGTAGCCATATCGTTCCAATGATGTAACCGTATCGTTCCAATGCTGTAACAATGCCATTCCAATGTTGAAACCGTACCGTTCCAATGTTGAAAGCGTACCGTTCCAATGTTGAAACCGTACCGTTCCAATGTTGAAACCGTACCGTTCCAATGTTGAACGCGTACCGTTCCAATGTTGAAACCGTACAGTTCCAATGTTGAAAGCGTACCGTTCCAATGTTATGGAATCCCAGCTCTAGAAGGAACGCGATCACATCCCCACTGTCATGCCCCCTGTCCTGGTATGTGGGGAGAAAGCAGGGAGAAGAAGAAGGGAGTGGGGGAAACGAGCGGGAGAAAGCATGAGAGGGCGGGATGACAGACAGGGCGCCTCAAAGGATGAGGAAAATCATCCGCCAAACAAGCGGGAAAATCATCCGCCAAACAAGTGGGAAAATCATCCGCCAAACAAGCGGGAAAATCATCCGCCAAACAAGCGGGAAAATCATCCGCCAAACAAGCGGGAAAATCATCCGCCAAACAAGCGGGAAAATCATCCGCCAAACAAGCGGGAAAATCATCCGCCAAACAAGCGGGAAAATCATCCGCCAAACAAGCGGGAAAATCATCCGCCAAACAAGCGGGAAAATCAACCGCCAAACAAGCGGGAAAATCATCCGCCAAACAAGCGGGAAAATCATCCGCCAAACAAGCGGGAAAATCATCCGCCAAACAAGCGGGATGCGGAACATCATCCGCCAAACAAGCGGGATGCGGAAAATCATCCGCCAAACAAGCGGGATGCGGATAATCATCCGCCAAACAAGCGGGATGCACAGGACGGCGTCCTTGCTCGAGTGCCATGCCTTGCTTGCATGCCACCCGGAGCAGTCATGCGGCCAGCAATGCCATATTATACTTGGTGAACAGTAAGTGAAGGAAAGGCATACTTACAGAAGGATGGGTGCAGATGTTAATATAGGGTACAGAACCAGCCGACAGGATAGAGAGGCTTGCTGTGGCCCATCAGGCCTGCAACGACCAGGCAAACTCGCCTTGACTCCGACTAGTTGACTGGGTTGACTCAGTTGACTTGCGTTGACTCAGTCAACTGACCTGGGCCGACTCAATGTAGCTCGACACTATCGCCCACAGCTGCTCGTTTCGATCCTTGAGCTGCCCATGTCCATGCAACACACACACACACGCACCCACGCACCCACGCACACACGCTCCCATGCACCCACGCACCCATGCACCCACACGCACACACGCACGCACGCACGCACACAACAAACAAGTTGCATTTGCCGAAGAAGTTGACGGATAATTTTAAAACGAAGTAGATATGACAAAGTAGCAACGGCACACTTGATGAAAGGAACTGGACGAAGCACAATTCGGAGCGAGAAACAGCAAATTGCTGGGCGAGAGCGACAACGCAAACTACTAAATACTTCCAAGCCTCGTGACAAAAAGCGGTCATCACGAGGAGGAAGCGTACGAGGAAGGGGAAGGCCGAGGTTGATACGACTGAGAGAGAGGATCCCCTGGGAAACATAGGGTCAGAGGAGGAGGTGGAGGAGAAGGGGAGGAATGACAGAAAAAGGAGGGTGCAACAGGGAGGATGAGGGGGTAGGGAGTGGTACTGGGTCTGTACGCTTTTGGACCCCATGTAATTGTAGCGTTGCGCATAAACGTAAACATACGCGTATGTACGCTTAATAAGCGTGTACCATATACCCGTGTACGAAAATAAAACTTGCCAAGCGGGGCCATGGACTACAAGAGTGGGACAAGAGGCAAGGCAATGGTGTGAGCAGGAAATGGGGGGTAGGGGCGGTCGGGTTGAAAAAACTGCATAATTGAAATCCGTCACCACAAACTACTGGTGGTGGTTAAATTATCATTTCGCCACCCTTTTGTTGTGCAAGAAGCAGCTTACACAGGTTACACAGTTGCCGGGCAGCACAAAAAATAATATTTCACGTAACAAATTAAAGATCCACCCTCTGACTCTCTGATCCTCTGATTCTCTTACTTTCTGAGCTTGCCACAGTATTGATGGCCCAGGCATGTGGAGTGGAGTGAAGACCCAGAAGCTGCTACTGCTAGCAGCAGCATCGAGAGCGGTGGCGGCGGCCACGTCAGGCAGCACGTACTTCTTGGCTAGCGGGGACAGAGACCTGTGGGGGCGGGGGGTGTGTGGTGCCGGACAACATGGGAAGGCGCGATGGGAGGTGGGGAAGCGGGGGGGGGGGGGTTTGAGAAAGAGTGTCGCAGGTGGGAGCAGGGACCTGTGGGATGGGGGGTGAGTGTGGGGCCCAGGTGGGGATAGTGTGGGAGGAGGGAGGGTGCAGCGGGCACGGGTTGAGTGAGGAAGAGCAGTCGCAGCTCGTACTGCTTTGGCTAGCTGGATGGGGCAGGGACCTGCGGATGGGAGGGCGGGCAGGGACCTGCGGATGGAAGGGCGGGCAGGGACCTGCGGATGGAAGGGCGGGGAGACGGAGGGCGCAAGGAAGGAGGAAGTGAAGGAAGCAATGGAGGAGGGAAAGGCTGAAAAAGGAGAAAAGTGGTGGGGGGCGAGGGGGAGAAGAGGGGGGACGGTGGGGGAGTGGAGTAGAGTAGGCACAGCACAGGGTTGGTGAGGAAGAGCAGTGGCAGCATGTGCTGCTTGGCTAAGGGAGGGCGGGACCTGTGATGGGAGGGGGAACGGACGGAGGTGGAGGGGAAAAGAGGAAGTGAAGGAAGGGGGAGAAAGGGTGGGAGGTGTGTGTGGGGGTGCTGGGGGTTGTGGGAAGTGCATTGGGGTAGAAATGGATGAGGAAGGGAGGGAGTGAGGCAGGGAGTTTGACACAACACGCCGTGCTGGACCAGAGGAGGGAGTGACATGGAAGCGAGGGGGGCCGGAAGGAAGGGAAGTGAGGCGGAAGTGCGGCAGGAGGGGGAGAGCTGCGGAAGGGGGAGCGGGGACAGAGGGATGGTGAGGGGAGCGAGCAGCATGCGAGGGGGAAAAGAAGGGGGTGTGGTGCGGTGAGAATGGGGTGTGGGGAGAGTGGTGGGGTTGCAGAGGCACCTCTGAATGCGCAGGTGGGGGAATCAAGGGAGGCGCGGGTGGGGGGACGACTGGGGAGAAGAGAAGGTCCGTTGCCGGGGGGAAGAGATGCGGAAGAAGGAACCTCCTTTGCAGGGAGAGTATGGGGAGGGAGGCCAATTAGGAGGGCACAGCGAACCGAGTGGGAACGAGGAAAGGAGGAGCATGGAAACGGCTCCCCGTCACCTCGAGCCGTTCAATGCCAAACCCTCATGATGAGTGTTTCGGACTCGCTGGGCAGCTGGACGGCAGTAGAACTCACGCTCAGCGTTTACCTGAGCACGGCTTGGCACGTGTAGAGGGAGGAGTATAGGCGGTCGAGCTGCGCGGCCGGCAGCGACGCGAGGTAATCCGCGAATAGTCCAGCAGATTCGACCATCCTTGGGTGAGGGTTACGAGCAGGGGCAGCAGGGTGAGGGCGAGCAGCCTCTGGCAGGGAAAGCGAGGGCGACGGGCAGGGGAAGCGAGGGCGACGAGGAGGGGAAGCGAGGGCGACGGGCAGGGGAAGCGAGGGCGACGGGGAGGGCACACGAAGGCGTGGAGCGACTGACGGGAGAACGTGTGACGCGTGATTGACTATGACGCTGTAGTGAGTCACGGCAGGGAGTGAGCGACGCGAGCAGTGAGTGACACGAGAAGTGGGTGAGGGGGGGGAGAGTGGATGACGAAAGAGCCCGTCGCAGGAGCGGGCGACGCTTGTGCGCGACGAGAGCACGCAACTTGAGTGACCTGAGCGGGTGAGAAGTCGGCAATAGCCTCTGGCTAATGCTATCGTGTTCTCCAGGGTTTGGCGGATTACAATCCGGTAACATTACTCAAGCAATCTTCCATAAATATGCATTATTTTTTAAATGTATAAATAGCTTATGTAGCGAAACAATACGGTAACGCAAACAATGTGTTTCTCCATATTATAGAACGTTTTTAGTTCTAATCTGATTCACACAGACGATGTTAGGAACAGTAAATTGAGAAGCTGCACTGCGCATTCCTACCTGTAGCAAGAATGGAGAACACAGAATAGAGTACGAAGGCGAAAGGTCGAAACGACGCGAACAGTTGGAAAGCATCTGGACCGTCGGAGCAGACAACATCGGGCAACTGCAGGAGAGAGGAAAAAGGCGGGAACAGTTTCATAATTGTACCCGCCGCACGGTTGGGTCTGAATTTGAATAAGGGAATGTACCCCTTAGAGTAGATGGCTAGCTATGACGGTTGGTATTCCCCTTGTACTCTTATTTATACGATAGTGTCTGCATGTTTTAATCATCTCAGTCATTCTATATTCGCTCTGATCTGAGGTCAAGGGCCCACCACTACCACACAATTCGTGCGAACCAACCTGAGGTGATCCTGGTTACGATCTACTTTCCTATCGCAACATGGTATGAGAGCGACTCGGGAATCCTTCGCACTGTCACCTCCGTAACTCTCGGCAAACTAAGGTGGCGTCCGGCACACGCTCACGCGTAAGAATGGCCGGAGAATCTGGTGGTCAGACGAATCTGACCGCTGAAGCGCAGCCTAACCCGGCTGCGACAAACGAGGAGACAACGACTATCGGCACAGGCACCCTCGCACAACTACTTCAGTGACTCTCAACTCTGGAGCAAAGCGTCCAGACATTGCGGAATGGCGACGCGGAAACATCTTCCCAACCCTCTCAACCGGCTTGAAATGGCCGCGATACCGCCTCGCACACCTTCTCCCTCGAAACGAATGGCTCAACTCCCAAGACTCCCCGACCCAGCCAAGAAGCAATTCTCTCAGCACAATCAAGGTTTTTGAGCATATAAAAAATTAAGACAAGTGTCTGCTTTGACGGCAGAGACTTCTATACGCGGAGCTTCGAGCTGGAGCTGCTGCTACAAAACCCACAGATATTTCACTACTTCGACGGGAGCTACTCGGGACCTGCTGAAGACACCGCTGACGCCAGGGCGCGATACTACAACAATTCAGTAATGGCGTACGGCGTCTTACTACGAAACATGTCGCCAACAGAGCAACTGAGCATCCGTTCATACAAGACAACGCCTGCTCCAGCCCACGACGCCTGGCGACATCTCAACGGAGTATACCATCCGAAAGACTCGGTTTCTTCGAGCTGCCTGATCCATCAGCTATTGGAGAAAAAAACGGCCCCAAGGGAGAAGGCCAACAGCTACATCAACCGCTGTCGGAACTTACGCGATCAAATCGCGAAACTGGAAAGCACAATCTTCGAAGAAATCTTCGTCAACATTGTGCTCCAAGTGCTCGGCCCCGAATGGCGGCCCTGAAAGGTGCTACTCCGACAGCAGGGGGTTATCTCGGAAGCCGTCCTATGCGCCGCCCTCCTCGTCGAACAACGGGATATGGACCAGGAGTGACTAGCGCCGCAACGAGAACGAGAGAGAATTGCGTTCTACGCCCACAACAAAGACGAACGCAAGCCGCAGCGCCTCTACTGCAAAATTTGCAGAAACTTTGGGCACCTGGCCGAGCGATGTAGATTCTGCTCCGTGTCAGAAGAATGAACGAGAATGAATGCATTGAACAGAAAGTTGGTACAAGTACTAACCCTATTTGGGTTGTACCCCTTATGGGCTACCCCACTATAGCCTACACAAATGTAAGCACTATAATATTCTGACACACCCCCACACGCAAAGTGGGGGAGAACAAGTGGTCACAAGACAAGTCAAGAAAAGCAAAGCAAGCTCAGGGTGGATCACAAAGTCACCACACAGTCCGAGCACAAGCAAAGGGCCACAAGGCCAGTTCACATGCAGAGTTATATAAAAGAGAACAAACAATACAGTGATCATACCCTAGCAAGTGTAAGCATGCAGGTATATATATAGATCACAGTACAAGCAAAGTCACGCAGTGAGCAAGTGAGGCAAAGTAGGCACAAGGCCTAACACAGTAGCAAAGCGCTGATGATCACCAGGCGGAAGTGCCGGCTCTACGGATTCGTCCGAAGGTGGAGCTGAGAGCGAGTGACCGGTAGACAGAGGAGTGGGCTGTGGCGAGGAGAACTGGAAGCCGAAGCGGTGAAGGACCTGGTGCACCATGTGTGACTGAGTCAGTGTGATGGTGTGTCGTGCTCTGTCCCGGGTGATCTGCAAGCAAAGATAGCTGTGCATTTCACCCAGGTCAGTGCAGGTGTGTCTCTTCTGCAGCTCTGAATTCACAAAGGTCAGTGCCTCAGTGTCAGAAGTGGCAAAGACCAGGTCTTCGACGTACACGAGGACGTAGAACGGCAGCAGCGACGTGTCGGTGCGTAAAAACAGCGACGGGCCAGCAGTAGAAGGAGTACAGCCCAGAGCCGCAAGTGTAGTCCTCAGTGTGTCGTGCCACTCGCAAGGCGCCTGGTGGAGACCGTAGACGGGCCGCCAGAGGCACCACTTGGTACCTGCAGGAAACGACCCAGTGAAGCCAGGTGGAGGGCGCAACCAGATCTCCTCGTGCAAGCTGCCCTGCAAGAAAGCTGTAATGAAGTCCAGAGAGTGTAACTCGTAGTCACGCTGAGCAGCAACGTACAGCAACACCCGAAGAGTAGTCATCTTTGGGGTGGGGGAGAAGGTCTGGAAGTAGTCAACGCCCTGTCGCTGACTGAAGCCTCGAGCAACGTAACGCGCCTTGAAGGCAGGCGGAGAACCCGGCGGCTGCTTCACCCTGATAATCCACATGCCATCGACTATGTTCAATCGAGACGGGGGAACAACGTCGACATAGGTGCCTGTGGACTTCCAGGATGCCCTCTCGGCATCCATGGTTGCCTGCCACTGAGAGGAGTAGGGACCCGTAATCGCCTCTGCGTAAGAGCGTGGGGTCGGGATGTCTAATGCATTTGGGTCTCCCTCAGAGGCAAGCAGCATGGAAGTGAGACGAGGTACAGCAGCTGCAAGACACTCAAAGTCATCCTGCCTATCCTCAAGGACGTCCGTGCCAAGAGCACACTCACCCCCGACGGACGGAGGACCGGCAGACTCAGACCCAGCAACAAGAGCAATGGCGTAGTCTAGACGACAGGCAGCAGCAAAGTCAAAAAGCTCACCAACGAGGACAGACATAGCAGTGGACTCAGAGGAAGGGTCTGTGACAACAGTGGCAAGGAGACGAGAGACAGTGGGATTGGCAGCACGAGCGCTGTTAGACTCAGGGTCAGGGACGACAGGAAGAGAGGACTCAGGAGGAGGCGGCGGAGAAACACGCAGTGGAACAGAGGAAGGACGAAGTGCCATAGCGTGTGTGCCGGGGACAGGAGAGGGACGCAAACAAGGAACGCGACGACCAGTGTGAACAGGGGAGGCAGGACGAGACGCAGGCTCACGACGCTTGGTAAAACCGCCGGTCTGTTCAGTGTAAGGAGAAGGAGCAGGCAGTGGGGAGGCTTGCTGTAACTGTGGCTGCGACTGGTCAGGCGGTGGACACAGTAAGGGAGGAGTAAGGCCAGTAGAAGACGGGACACCAAGAACGTGCTGAAGCAGGGGAACAAAGAACGTTCGCGGCCGCACTGTGCCCCCAGCACCTCCAGCTCCAGGGTCAACAACGAGCTCCTCCAGCTCCAGCGCCTCCCGCGCCAGTGCCTCCAGCTCCAGCTCCTCCAGTCCCAACAGCTCCAGGCTCCGTAGGGTCTCCAGCTCCAGCTCCCCCAACACCACCAGTACCGGCAGCTCCAGTACCCCTGGTACGAGCACCTTCAGGACCAGCAGCTGCAGCACCTCCGGTACCACCTGCGCCAGCAGTAACTCCAGCACCTCCAGCTCCAGTGTCTCCAGCGATAGAGTCTCCAGCTCTGGCAGCTCCACTCCGAAGGCGAGTGCGCGGAGCAAACCACTCGCGCAGCTGCTGCGGGGAGAGAGGCTCCGGCCGGGGAGACAGTCGTGGCAAAGCACCCGCAGGACCTCCAGAAGAAGCAGTACCCCTCAGCTCAGCACCCTCAGACTCCGCACCCTCAGACTCAGCACTCCCAGGCCTCACACCCTCAAGCTCAGCACCCCTAGTCTCCGCACCCCCAGGCTCAGCACCCCCAGACCCGGCACCCTCAGACTCACCACACCCAGGCTCTGCACCCCCAGACTCAGCACCCCCATACACAGCACCTGGAGCAGCACATGAGCAGACAGCTACCTCAACAGGCGCAGTACCAAGGAGAGGGTCCACGTGAGACACACCTGAGGGAGCAGGACCCTGGGGGGGGAGGGGGTCTACCGGAGGGGGACCTAGAGCAAGGAAGAGTGGTGGGGGTGGGGGAGGAGCAGAGCGGTAGGGGAAGAGACGGTAAAAGGGAACCGACTCGTCAAACGTGACATCCTGAGAGGGGAAGACACGGCGCGAGGTGGGGTGGTAAAACTGCCAACCAGTCGCGTTAGGGGAAAAGCCAAGGAA